TCATTCTACAGCATAAACTTCCTCCTTGCCTTTACTTTCCGATGATTCGTTCATAGATGTCTGTTGTATGTCCTTCCCTTCCGGAGTGTGTTGCTGACAGTTGAAATTTGAAGGCCTTGGAGAACATCAGTGTATTGTCCACAAAAGCTTCAGTCTACATGCAGATTTATGATAAAGTAAAATGCCAGGGAACTGGAATGTGTGTTTTGATAGACTGCCAAAAGAATAAAGAGAATTTTTAGGACTCTTTTAAGTAAGCAGGACAAAGAAACAATCATGATTCTAATCATTTTCAGTGTGTTGTGAAGTCATTAAGCTCTTTGGGCTCGCTTGCCTTGGCTGTAAGATGAAGAAAGTAATGGATTCATATTAGAGGTACTATTGTGAGGAGTAAATAAAACAGCTTTTATGAAGCATTTATAGAGCAAGTTCCCATACTTATTTTCATAAATATTTCATATAGGTTCTTAATGGCCTATGGAATGTGTCCTGGAAAGCTTCCTTTATGGAGTTCTTTGCTAAAAATGATCAGTTGCACATCCAGTAAGCTGTGCCTGCCTAGCTCCACTGTGAGATGGCATGGGACTGAAACATAGTGAGGCCAAGACAGAAGAGATTTCAAACACCTTTAACTCATATGAAGTCCTTTGTCACCAAACTATCCAATTTTTAAAATTAGGTTTAATTATTTGAAAAAATAATTTAATAGTAATATAACATTTGCTCATTACATCATTCAGTTCTTAATAACCTTGGAAAATTGTGTTTTTGCCCTACTTTTAACTGATACTTTTCCTGCCTGAGGCCACCTCACTGGGATAGTCAATACATGTTCCAACTATTTTAAAAATATTTTTATTTATTCAAGAGTTTCATACAATGTATTGTGATCATATTCAGATACTCTCCCTTCTTTCCACCCCAATCTTATTACCCTCTCATTTTGACTTTATGTCCTCTATTATTATCTGCCTTTTTAAAAGGCCTATAGATTCTAATCTGTATTTACTAAGTGCTTTTTGATATAGGTATAGCCATTGGAGTCTGGTCAACCAACCAGGTATCTAGCAAAGAAAACTGACTCTCCCAGTCCCAGCATCTATCATTTGCCAACAAGAGCCTCAGCTAAGGCTGGGGCTTTCTGTCCACCTCCCCTGTCCATGGTGGGCTCCTGTCTGACTTGTTTGCACAGATCTTGTGCATGCTGTCATAAGCGCTGTGAGGTCATATTTGTAACTACCCTGTGGTGTCCAGACATCACAGTTTCCTTGTATTCATCTACCATCTCTGACTCTTACAGTCTCTCTGCCCCCTCTTCCACAATGATCTCTGAGCCTTGGAAGGAAAGGATATGATATAGGTGTGCCATTTAGGACTGAGCACCCTCAGTCTCGTTCTCCACATGTAGACCATTTGTGGGTCTCGTATTAATTGCTATCTGCTGTAAGAAGAACCTTCTCTGGTTAGAATTAAAAGATGCATTAATCTATTGTGGATCTGTTTAATACTATTTCTGTTTAACAGAATGATAGCAGTAGGTGCTGCCCTATGACCTGTGACTTTGTTTAGCCAAAGGTTCTTGGTTCTAATAACAGTTTCAGATATGAACTTCCTATTGTGAAATGCGTGTTAAATCCAATTAGAAGGTGGTTGGTTACTTGCATAATATTTGTGCCACTGTTGTACCAGTGAGCATATTTTGCCAAGCTAGTTGTTATGGTAGCTTGAGGACCCACAGCTGGGTAAGACTGATGATTACCTTTCTCTACCAGTAACAGTCATAGCTTCTTCTTGGACTATGAGAATTTTCCAGCAGAAATGTAGCTTCAAGGTCAGTAGGTCAGTACGGATTTTTCCTTGTGTGTTCTGCGACTCAGGTGTGTGGAGTATAAAGCAAGAGTCTTACTTTCAAGGACTGGTGGGTAACCAAATGCAATGGCAATAGCCATTATTGTTTGAGAATCTATGCTATCTCTCTGGTCAACAACTGTAAAATAGGGAGTCCATTCCTAGCACTGGGCTTTTCATTGCTAGCCTGTGGTGTCAGTTAGAGTTATTGGATTAAATGTTTAAGTTCTTTTTACCTAGACTCAAAAAGACGAACGTCATGTGTCCCTTGTCATAAATAGATACTAGCTTTGAATCTTTAGAAAGGTTGTGTGCTGGATAGCTTTAGTGTCAACTTGACACACCTGGGTTGAGGGAGCCTCAGTTCGGGAATTGCCTCTATTGGACTGGCCTGTGGCCATGTCTGTGGGGCATCTAATTGATGAGTGATGTGGGAGGGCCCAGCCCACGAGGGTGGTGCCACCCCTGGGCAGGTGGGCCTGTGTTGCATAAGAAAGCAGGCTGAGCAGGGCCAGGGGAGCAAGCCAGTAAGCAGTGCTCCTCCATGGCCTCTGCTCCAGCTCCTGCCTCCAGGTTCCCACCCTGAGTTCCTACCACAGGCTCCCTGATGAACTGTGACCTGGGAGATGTAAGCTGAATAAACCCTTTCCTCCCCAAGTTGGTATTGGTCAGAGTTTTTTGTCACAGCAATGAAGAGAACAAACTAAGACAGGGTGTTTCAATTGGAAAATCTTTAGAGATCATGAAGTTAGTAAGGAGCTGTAAGAGGTGGCTTGTGAGGGGGGATAGAATGCAGTGCTATAAATGGGAGAGGGGATAATGGATAGGACAGGTTTAATGGGGTGGGGGATGAGAGGCTGTGGCAGAAGAGGGGTTACTGGCACAAAAGCTTTTCTAGGTGGCCTGTGGAAGCCCACTATAGAGGTTTCCACTAGGTTCATCTGCTCAAACCCTAAAGTTAAAATGCTAGTGCTGTTTTAGAAACCTTGACAGATCAAGTATCATCCTTTCTTTTAAACTTTTTTTTTTAAGGGGAAACACAAGTATAAACAGAAAGTGGCTTCCTGTGATGCTAATTCAATTAATCAGAAAACACTTCTGACCCAAAATTTATTTTTAGCACTGTTTACACCAGAAAAACTATACATCATAGCAGGCATGTTTTATGATTGTCAGAGATCTGTTTCACATTCATATAATTTTATATAGCGAAAATCCTCAAATACAATTGCAAATTTTCTTGTGAAGTTTAGAGAGCTTTTCACTTTCTAATAGTAGTAGTTTGTTCATCTTACTGGTTCTTGTTGACAGTTTTCTAGCTGTATAGGTATATAACTTCTCAGTAAGTACACTCTGGTGGCATTTCAATAACTAGCTCAGAAAAGTATTTCTCCTATCTTCTCCAGCTAAGGACCTCATAGGCTGTGGCATAAGCAGGCTGCAAAGTTAAGTAAGAAAACACACACCTACAGCCTATTCTCCTTTCTCACATCTCCTTCTACATTTCTGACTGTAGTACATTGTCTACAATATGTGTGCCTACTTATTTCTGTGATGGTCCAAGCAGAATTAGGACTTTTTGTACATACAGATGTATGTATGATTCTTTTGGAATTTCTAGTGTTTTTTTTTTATTTAAAAACAAACAAACAAACATAACTCATCAGATTTAATCAGAGAAAAGGATCTGTGGACTCTGGGTGAGTGGTTGGCAGTCTTGAAGGGTAATTGATTCCTGCACTCAGTCGGGTCTTTCTGCATAGCCAGGCCCATTGTTTGTTGATCCCCAAACGAATCTTTTTTGTAGTCCTAGAATGGCTGCCAGCCATAGCTAGGGCCCATGCACCTCTTTCACATAAGGTTGTGAGGAGACATAAGAGTCTTCTCAAACAGTATAGCCCAGGTCACATGCCCACTCCAACCAGGGACTAGAGTGGGGCTATAGAATTGAAGGGAGTTACTCAAATTATGTCTGTGGAGCTTCTTATTCTTCTCTATATAACAAATCATCATAAAACTTAATAAACACAAACATTTGTTTTGTCTTGGTTTCTGTGGTTTGGGGATTCAGACCACTTCAACAGGACAATCAGGCTTAGAATCTCCAAACTGCCAGTAAGGGCCGCAGTCAGCCCCCTGGAAAGTTGGACTGTGGCTGGCTGTTGCTCCTGCTTCCAGGATGGTTTTCTTGGACAATTATGGACAAGAGACCTTGTTTATTCCTTGTAGGGCTGCTGAATACCTCACTGCCGTAGCAGCTGGCTTCCCACGGAATTAGTGAGCCAAGTAAACCGGCAAGGAAAAAGCCCTGTTATCTTTCTGTGACCCAGCTGAAATTTCATTCTGTCACTTATTTTGCTATGATCAAGTCAGTAAATCTAACCCATCCTCTTAGGCTCTCTGTCTTAAAGGGAGGACATCAGAGCTGGGTGTGATGGCGCAGGCCTTTAATCCCAGCACTCCATAGGCATAGGCAGGTAGATCTCTGTGAGTTCAAGACCAGCCTGGTCTTCATAGTGAGTCCAGGCCAGCTGTGACTACATGGAGACCCCGTCTCAAAAAGACCAAATAAATAAAATAAAATAAAGGGAGGACATCAAGATTTTCCGCTTATATTTTAAAATCTCCACTCAAAATAGGAGGCAGGAAAGAGGCGATAAGCTTAGGTGTGAGGGGAAGGAAGGACACTGTGGAGACAGTTGGTAGGGTAGGGCAGGGCAGGAAGAAGCTAGGTTTGCTAATGAGAAGCTACTCACTATTATGGCGGGTAAGATGGAAGTGGGTGATAGATAAACAATCACTAAATTCCTACTGTCTTAATAAAGTCTTTCTGACTAAAAAGGAGGTGCTATTGTGATTTCAATTTATTTTAGGTAAGAAAATTGAGATTTTTTTTTTTCTTCAGTGGGGGTATTGCGAGATGTTCCTGACATACCTAGATTTGATAGAAGGTGGATTGGAAGCCAGTACTGTCTCTGGCTTGCACGCAGGATGGACTGCTGGAGGGAGGTAAAGAGTGGTGACATGTGAACAGTTGCAGTTGCTTTTGTAGCCCTTGGGTAGAGACTGTGTTCAGACATTATGGTCATATACCTTTCCATTTGGATAAAAATAAATGTTTCACATATCCTGGTTGGTCTTTTACTTCCTAGGATCAAGGGGGTTTGGGCATTGCTATCAGTGAGGAAGACACGCGCAATGGAGTCGTCGTAAAGAGTCTGACGGAGCATGGGGGAGCAGCCGAGGTGTGACTTTACCTTCTCACTGTCTTAACGTGGTGGCAGGGAATTTCTCTGGGAAAGTGACTCAGCATCTTCCCCACTTCACCTCAGGATGGACGCCTCAAAGTTGGAGATCAGATCTTGGCTGTAGATGATGAAGTTGTCTTTGGCTATCCTGTTGAAAAGGTACTTTTGCACCGTAAAGCCAGTGGCACTGTCAGCTTAAGGCCTGGCTGACTTTAGGCCAGGCGGGGGGCAGGGGGGGGGCGGTGGTCAAGATTCCCAATATATTTTTTTCTATTTCCTAATCAGAATGATATTATGATTCTGACTGGTAAATTATTCGATATCCATCAGGCATTTTTGATTAATGTTTTAGTTTTCCCTTGAGAAAGCTTGGAACTACTGAACAGTGGCTCACTTCATGTTAAGACTAAAGGAATATATTTCTTATATTTACTCCTATAAATTGTCACTGTACATACTGTTATATAAGCAGATGTTAGACTCAGCTATTGCGTGTCTGTCATCTGATGGTGTTGAGCAACTCCTAGTCCTGCAGTCTCACTGATGCCATTAATATGTCAGTGCCAGGAAGAAGGTTGTGTCCCTGGGATCTGGTGTTCTTTTCTTCTCCGTTCCATGGCAGCTGGCCATAGTTCCAGTTGTACATAAGCTTTAAGAAGCTTAAAGCCACTTTAAAATTTTTCAGTTGTAGTAACTATATCGGTCCTTTAACCTGTACATCTGCTTTTAACTTTCCATTTGCCTGGGCTTTTCTGTCACATAGTTTTTTCCCCTGATTTTAACATGTGCATGTTAGTGTGTTCCTGTTTTTATTAAAAGTAATTGTGTGATCTGCTTCAGGTTCCTCACAGAACCAGAAAGTAGGTAAAACACCTCATGTCTCTTCTAAGGTTTCAAGATCCAGGAAAATGGACAAGAATAATTAAAATGTACAATATTGAAAATCCCTTTCCCAGTATATTACCATAAGGATCTTGTCAGAACTAGTCCAGAAGGAGAGAAAATTAATCACGACTGTAATCTACATTGAATGGTTGAAGAAATAGAGAAAAACTAGAAGAATTTCTTTTTCGGCCTCTAAACACACAAGGAAATTGTTTTTCTTGATGACAGATGAGTTTAGACCCCAGCAGTTCTGGGGCTGAGGAGTTATCGCAGTGGGTAAAGCACATAAGAAACCAAGTTTGAGGGGCTGGAGAGATGGCACAGAGATTAGAGCACTTGCTGCTCTTGCAGAGGATCTGGATTTGGTTCCCAGCACCCACATCAGGCAACTCACAGCTACATGTAAATCTAGCTCCAGGGGATCTGACACTCTTTTCTAGCCTCTACAGGCACCGCACACATGGTGCAATACACACAGATAACATACTCATACATATAAATAAAAATAAGCCAAAAAACCCCCAGATTTGATATCAGGAGCCTACAGTTTTTAAAAGGGGTGTGGGTGGGGGTGGTATGCACTTGTAGTCCAGCACTGGGGCTGCAGAAACAGACAAATCCCTGGGGCTCACTGGCCAGCCCCACTAATCTAATCAGTGAACGCTAAGCTAGTGAGAGACCCTGCCTCAATAAAAACCAAGGTAATGGCCCTGAGAAGACACCCAAAGTTGTCCTAGGGCCTCTACATGCCCCATACATGCAAACATGCACACACAGACATGGGCACACATGCACATACATGAACGTGAATGTGCATGCACACAGATGTACAAAAGAGATTCCGGCAGTTCTGGTGACTTTTATTTATATACGTCTACTCATTTGTCTTTGAATTGTGTTCTTTTCCACACTAATCTCTGGTCAGTTTATTAACCTTCTGAAGACAGCAAAGACAACCGTAAAACTGACCATTCGAGCTGATAATCCAGGTTCCCAGGCTGTTCCTGCACCAACTACTGCAGCCAGTGGAGAAAGAAGAAACAGCTCCCAGTCTCCTGCCATCCCAGAGCTGGACCCAGAACCCATCAGAAGTAAGGGCTGGCTATTGAAACTCCTGCATACATGTAGGGCAAGTGCAACAGAGGGCCCTCCTTCAGAGCAGGTGCCTACCTGCAGAGCACTGTTTGGAGGGCCTTGAAGTCAGGGACTCTTTGGTGAGAGGATGGCTTAGAGAAGGGGAAAAATCAGGGGAGCATAGACCATGGAGCAATAAACCCAGATGCTGTACACTACTCAACCATTATGCCTTAGGAAGCCACCTGCCCACTCCTGCCTCAGCCTCTTCCTCCCTGGACCAAGGGAATGGTCTTTGCTCTCAAGTTCTTGCTGAGGGTACATAAAAATACAGCTGTTTAACTAACGAATTAGAAATATCATTTTTTAGCTTCTCTTTGTATAATGGAAAGAGAACTTCTTTAGGCCTCAGTTTCCTTGAGTGTAGAATGGGTGTTTAATGATCCTCTTTCACAACTAAGATTAATACTGCTTGTCTTTAAAAGCTTTGAAATGCTAGTTATTGCCATATAATAATGGGTCTAAGTTCAAGAGCTGGGGGATGCCAGAAGCTCTTATCAAATGAGATGAAAGAGATGCATTGTGGACTGTGGGGTGAAACTTTAGCGTATCATTAAACTGCTAGTCTAGTATATGGAGGCAAATTATTCCTTTAGTTACTTTTTAGAAAAAGTATACTAGTACAAAATAAAATAATAAATTCTCAACTCTCTAAGGCATCATTTTAAAGAATGATTTAAATGTTGGCTTTTCTCTACAGCAGGTTAGGAGAAGAGATACTCTTTCTTGACCTACAAACAAATTCTCATCTCTAATAAAAGTGATCCTGTGTTTGGAATGGCTAAATAGTTCACTGATTTAGCCAGTAAAATGTCTTACAATTTTCTCATTTTATCTTGGTTCCTAAATAGCATTGTATATAAAAATATGAAATGCTAAACGAAAGCTTAGCATAAATGAAAATATCATACACCTGTTCTTACCATTTCTGGAGTAAGAACAGAGTCTGTTTCTGACTTCCTAAAAGGGAACATCTTGTCTAACGCACACTCTACTCAACAGGAGCCCTAGCTTTCTGAAAACAAGCTCTCTGCTGTGTGCTCTGTGTTGTATTGTAAAACATATGATACAACGTGAACACTCCCGAAACAGGTGTGGAATTATATGCTCTTTGTTTTTTTATCATCTGTTATTCTCAATTCAACTCATAACTATACGCAGGAAGGTTGGATGTCAGAGTTTATAAAAACATCAAGCAAGACGGGGAGAAAAATAGAAAATGAATAATGTGAATATTTATACATACATTTTTGTATATGCAGATATGCTCAGAATTGATTACATAAGAAGAAATACTTGAGGATAAGAAGAAAAAGAAAAGAAAAACCATAAAACTGGGGTGCAGGGACCAAGACTAGAATTAATGCTGTGCTTTGTGTGGTTGGTTCTCTGAATGTGCTTCCAGTCTGCACAAATGCCTGTCCATGAGAAATGTGTTTGCCTCTGGTGAATGCAGACTCCTAAATTCACACTAGGGTACGACCTGACTTTCAGTTCATTTCCCTTCATATCCTGTCCTTTTTACCGCCAGTAATTAAAAAAACAAAAAAATGGCATAGGAAAATGAATGAGTAATATTACACTCAGCACAGAATTTAACAATGATGATTTAGTCATAGTGCTTTGATATCTTTGGTTAAAAATAACCCCAGTGTCTTCCTTTTGTCCATCCTTAAAGGCAGCCTACGTGCTGAATTTGACAGGAATGCTTTCTAGTCAGTTTTCCTGTGGGCGTCTCATTCATTCTAAGTTCATGTCTAGGTACAAGCAGGTCTTCAACACCAGCAGTCTTTGCCTCTGATCCTACCGCCTGCCCCATCATCCCTGGCTGTGAAACAACAATTGAGATTTCCAAGGGGCGAACAGGGCTGGGCCTGAGCATTGTTGGGGGGTCAGACACACTGCTGGTGAGTACCCACCCAAAGGTACTTTGCCTCAAGCCCCCTCAGATCATCCTGAGAGACCATGATGAGGAGTATTCTGCCCATTTTATTAAATGGGATTGACATAAAGGCTGAGAAAAACATGTCATTGTTATTTCATTTTATAGGATTATGACTTCAAATAAGCCAGCACTGACTCAAAAAGTCTGTTATGTTTTTGTGTTCAGAACATTTGTGTCAGTCCACTGATCCTTGGCATATTTTAATATCTTTTTTACTAATATCTAGTTTGACTTAGTTATGTATTGAGATGAGTGTGAAATACTTTAGAGAGAGGGGGAAAAAGACTTTAAAAGGCTTTCTTTCCATTTGTGGATAGAAGTGGTGCTGTGTCTCTATTTATTCATTTATGCTTTATTAACTTTGTTTCTCTTTCAATTTCTCAGTCAGTAGAAATAATATACTTCTTTGAGCCTATTAACAAAGCTTGTATTTTTACATGCTTCTAAATTATACATGACTCACCTACATACAAACCCAGCAAGTGCGTGCTACTTCTGGCTGTCTATCAAAGTACAGTGTCTTTGGGTGCTATTCTTCCCAGAATTCCTAGGGAGAGTGGATAAAGCACAGGTATGTTGTGTTTGGGCCTAGGGTGCCATCATTATCCATGAAGTTTATGAAGAAGGAGCAGCATGTAAAGATGGAAGACTGTGGGCTGGAGACCAGATTTTAGAGGTACACAGCTCTCAGTTTTGACCTAGACCGGCCTGCATCAGTGGGAGGATGGGTTTTCCTGCCTCCTGTCTTCCTGCTTGCTCTCTCCTCCCTTTTTTCTTCACTTCTTAACTCCTCACCCTCAGCATCTCATTTCTGTACAGGTGAATGGGATTGACTTAAGAAAGGCCACACACGATGAAGCCATCAATGTCCTGAGGCAGACGCCACAGAGAGTGCGGCTGACACTCTACCGAGATGAGGCCCCTTACAAAGAGGAGGATGTGTGTGATGCACTCACTGTAGAGCTGCAGAAGAGGCCTGGAAAAGGCCTGGGATTGAGTATTGTTGGCAAAAGGTGTGTTGGAGAGAACAAACCCAGGATCCCTTTGGAACTGATCACGGCCACAGTAGAATCGATGTATGACTTCTGCTTCGTGAGCAGCTGTCGTTAGCCCAATCACCAAGAAACATAAAAAACAATGTGAATGTTGTATGTTGGTATTGGAGGGTTGTGAAACTCTTCAATAAAAGTTCATTTGATATGAGCTGTCTGCTAGGTGCATTAGATTCTGAAGAGCAGAATTAAATAATAAATGATTCTTGACCTCAGAAAATTCACACTCGGGGGCTTTAGAAGTAGCTCAGCATCTAGTAATGCTTTTCCAGAGGACTAGGGCCCAGTTCCCACCACCCTTGTCGGGTACCTCACAACTGCCTATAACTGTGTCTCTAAGGAATCTGACACTCTCTTCTGGCCTCCATAGGCACCTGCACACACGTCTTACACACACAGACATGTGCATACATATTTTAATAATAATACAAAATTTTTTAAGTAACTTTTTTAAAAATTCATGCTCTGGTGAATGAGAATTTAATATATTCTTATAGCAAACAAATTTGTTGATATTGAAAAGACACATTTGGGCAGTCCAGGAAGCAAAGGCGTTCCCTAGATTTAAGGGAAGTGGACTAGGAAAATGTTTTAAGAAAGACATGTCTAATCCAAGGCTAACGGTGATAACTGATAGTTTTTCTATTAAGGAAGATGGAGGGCGCCGACTAGGTAGTCAGGGACTAGGGTCAGGCATGAAAGGAGCATGCCCCCAGCTTTCGGGACGGCACAGATTGCTGACCATACTTGATTCAGTTCCCAACTATTCAAAAACATGTATAATGTTTAAAGAATATTTGTATATAACTAAGATTAACAAATGCTTATAATTTTTATTAACCAATGATAAGTTCCATAAGCATTTTTGTGTTTGTGCTTAAGGCCTTCAGAATTCTAATCTGTCAAATAGTTCAGCAAATGAATTCTTAATTTGGGGGAAGGCAGCTCTGTATTCTGCCGTGGCTTGGTTGTCATGTGCAGTCTGTAAGCCTCATGATGCCAAAGCAGTTTTCTGCGAGTCACCAGTCTATGGACTTGTGGCCTTTATGTCAGAGCCCATTTCAGAAGGCCCAAAGCACTGCACACCTGCAGCTTCACTTCTGTGTTGGAATTAAAGGGTCATTTTTACCAATTTGGTTTTTCAGTGAAACGCAAAGACCTAACTCTTTTTTTATTGAACAAAGAAAGTACGGCATGTTATTTGAATCTCAGTAGGAATGTGTCTGAAAACTTACTCTCCTTTTTGGAATACAGCATCTTGTGAAACAAATACACTTAAAATTCATTTTAGGTACACTCTGTGAGGTCCTCAGAACACTATAGAAACTAATAGTATGCTGGGGGTGGTGGCTCATGCCTTTAATCCCAGCACTCAGGAAGCAGAGGCAGGCAGAGTTCTGTGAGTATGAGGCCAGCCTGGTCTACATAGTGAGTTCCAGGCCAGCTGGGGCTACAGGGAGACCCTGTCACATACACAAAAATAATTTATATATGTATATATATATGACCCTTTGGGAAGAATATTTAAAAACCATCTAATCCAACAACCCATTTAAAAATGGGAAAGCTTGGGATCAAAGGGAGGAGTGATGAAATGTTTGAGGTCCAGGTATGTAGGAGCATGTGGCACAATTCAGCGTTTACTGTACACTACTATTTACGGTAGCCTTATATTTTAGCAGCAGATTTCAGGGATTTGTTTTTTCAGTTTTGTGAAAGGATAACATTAAGATTAATATTTTCTCATTTTGACTAAATCTTTTGTATAGGAAAGTTAACTGTAATGACCTAAGAGACATGCCAGAAATGATGGTTGAGTTTTAAATAACAAACAGTTTTGATTTGGGATATATATCTGTTATTTATTTTCAATAATGTTAATGAAGTTGACGATGATCTCAGCATAGTCACCTGTCCACAGGTCAGTATCTGCTGAAGGCTTCACTGAAGTGTGGACAGAACGGTGTACTTGGCACCCAGCAGCGGACTCTTGAGTGCCAGTTTACCATTGGCTAGATGTATGGTCTATAAAATAAGCATAATAGCACCCATGCATTCAGAGGATGTAGGCAGTGAAGACTGTGCTTGTAAAAGAGATTTCAATCTATGAAATACTGTTAAGATATAACGCACTGTTCTAGCAAATGTATTCTAACAGAGTTGCCCCAGCATTGCTCAAAACTGTCAAACTTTCAAAAATAGAGACAATTTTCACTTTAGAAAGTGAACTTTTAATTAAATAATCATTGCATTGTAGTTCAGACACAGTCCTAACACTGAAATCCAACATTGTTTGTAGAAACGACACTGGAGTATTTGTGTCGGATATCGTCAAGGGAGGAATTGCAGATGCTGATGGGAGATTGATGCAGGGAGACCAGATACTAATGGTGAATGGGGAGGATGTCCGGAATGCTACCCAGGAAGCAGTGGCTGCTCTGCTGAAGGTAAAATCAAGTGACAAAAATGATTTCCGCGTTTACTAGTCATCTCAAATCAAATACAGTTATGGTAGCCAAGGTTCAGTGTCCCTGGCCTGGTGCTGGAGCTCTTGGAGAAGTCTGGTACTCACTGCCGTTTTCTTCACCAACCAGAGGAGTTTGTTTCTCTTTTCTGCCCAAGCTTAGGGTGTGGGGCACTGCAGGCAGTGCAGATCTACTCTCCGTGTGCTCCTCAGTGCATCTCTTATCACTTCTGAACTCTGTGTAAGTGCTGTCATTTCTTTCCTGCATTCCCTAGTGTAAATAAACATAATTTTGTCTGTGAATGATTTGTCTAATTTTCGTTGTGAGAGGGAAAACATTAGAAACTCCCACCCAGCTGTCTTACTGGCTCCGATGATCAGAAGATTTTTGTTTAAATTTTACCAAATTTATAATTTTTTTCTTTATGGTTTCCATGCTCTGATCTTAATTAAAGAACATTTTCCCAGGGCAAAGTAAGGAAACATTGTATATATCTTCTTTATATTCAATTTTTTCTTTCATTCTTTTAAGACCTTAATCCACCTATACTTTTTCTGAATGACACAAGGACTCCAATATATTTTTCCATGTACATGTCCAAGTGTTGTAGCATATTTTAGGGAACACCATTGCTTTTTTCTCACTGATACGTCATACACCTTTTCATATAGAGATCATGTAAGTCGGTATTTGTTCTGTTCTATAGAGTTATGTGATTTTATTTACCTGTACGAATAAAGTTCCAATTAATCCAGGACAAAACACAAAGAAGTATGATACCATATTTTACTGATTTACAGATTTCTAAATAGTAAATTTATGGCTGTGTTGTTTTATGTATAATAAGTTAGTGTTTGAATACCTAAAATGATAGTAGATCTTTATGTTTAAGATGAGTATTAAAAGGAAAACATGTAGTCAGACCACAACAAGCTGAGCATCTATCCTTCTATGTTTCTGGGTTATCCCTGTGACCTGGTTTAAGTGAAGACGTTCTTCTCAGGCAGTAGGAGGCCACCAGGGTTCTCACAACGCCGCAGGATATCACATTTTCTCTCCTTCCCAAGCCCTTTTTGAACCCCTTTCTGGGCACAACATAGTTGATAGTTTAATTCTTTGACACTGAACTTCACTTTCATTCACACGAGGGAGTGTTTGGCCCAATTCTCATTTTTACTCAAAGCTGTTGATCTATTTTTTTAAAGATATTTTATTTATTACTTTTATTTTATATGTATGAGTGTATCGCTTGTATGTATGTGAGTGCACCCGTGTCATGCAGTACTGCACAGGTCAGAAGAGAGCTTCAGTTCCCCTGGAACTGGAGTTAAGGATGGTTCGTAGCCACCATGTGGGTGCTGGGAATTGAACCCGGGTCCTCTGCAAGAGCAGTCAGTGCCCTTAGCCACTGAGCCATCTTAAATGAATAGAAAATCATCATTGTTGTCCTGATGCATTGAAGGTAATTTAATGCAGATTCACCTGTGGCACCTTCACTGGTAATCACTGTGGCAGTTATAAAGCCCCAGCCCTGGGTATCATTCAAAGCTTAAGTATATTTCACTTTGTATAGTGGATATCCTCCAAAGAAAGCTCTGGGTAAAGGTGGAAGTCATCTCCTTTTTAAACATTCATTTTATGTGTATGAGTGCTTTGCCTACCTGTATGATGTATGTAAGTTTACTGATACTGCGTAATTCCCATGAGAGCCAGAAGCGGACGTTAGATTAGGACCAGTTTGGCAATATATAATGGTAGCCTTAATTATTGACATGCTGTGTGTTCTCTTTGCCGCTACTTGTTGCTGTTTTGTCTTACCGAGATTTTATTTTGAATAATTAGCATACAAATAACATACACATAAATTTCATTGAAGTGTCATTTGTAATAATAGGAAAATTGTAAGCAACATAGTTGACAAAAATTACATCCACTTTGGTGTGCATTCCAGAGTTGCATTACAGGCATTCGTCTATTTAAAATGATTTTCACGACGTCTTTATTAACCCCCAATATGGATTCAGTAGAGAGCATTAGTCAACAAGATTCTTACTGTACTGTGGATTGAAACTCGGGCTGTCCCACGCTAAGTGCTCGCCCTCTTGAGCTGAATCCACAGCCCTTCATGTGCTTTGTGTTCTCAGTTAGTCTGGCTAAGGTGCCCAGGCTGCCCTTGACCAGTAACCATTCTGCTTCAGCTTCCCAGATAGCCTTCACCACCAGGCCCTGTTAAGTCCTACATGTTTCATAACAGTAATTATGAGATAATTGTTGCAGTTACCCTCCATTTTCTCCCCTTTTTCTCATTTTATTTTCAAATTTTTATTAAAGTGATTTGCTTTTATCATGGAACAATTACCTTAATTAAAAAAAATTATAGTTACAATGCTTGAACTTTAAAAGAAGTGGGTCCTCAGTAGATGAGTTATAGCATTGCATAGTAAATACATGGTTTGTGGACTTGCTATCCTCTGCAGTTATACAGGATGAAAACCTAAATAGGTCTGAGAAGAGCTACTAAGTCCTTAGGCTACGAAAACCTTGAAGCAGCAGAACAAATAAAACCCACCTTGCAGGCGCAGCTTTGAGCTTTCAGTTTATTTCCCGATCCATGTGGTTAAAGAGCACACTTCCCTCATGCTCCCTCAGATGTGGTATACTCGTGTCAGTGCCCAGCACTTACTTTTCTAGACTCTGCCATAAGCACTGAATATAGGTTTCTTATCATAAGCATCAGTGCTCTAAATTTTAAAGCACAGAATAGCAAATAAGTCAAGATTAGGCATCATTGCGGTCACACAACTAGTGGATCGCAGTCTCAACGTAAGCCAGCGTGTGTCTCCAGAAGCCCACAGTCTCCAACACCTCCTTGTGCTACTTCCACAGCTGCCCTTCTTGCCTGCTGGTGTTTATTTGTAAAGGATTGCAATAAAATAATCTCCAGTTCCTATGTTGTATTTGTAGCAATATTTACTCAAGTATTGTGTGATAGATCTAGTCAGCTACAGTACATCAAGGAAGCTTTACTGAGTTACCTGAGTAGCCCTTCTATCAAGGGAAGAATGAGTTGTGCTTTTATTTGCCTTTTAAACCCCGAGTTTCTCAGTTCATTCACCCATAATCATTGTATTTCATGAGAAATTACTTAATTCTTAGATTAAGTTTGCCTTAGTGGAAATAATCTCCTTGTAAATGGTGAAATACTAAGATAGATACTGAAATTGCTGCTCCTTGTTATTTTTATCAGTTTAAATATTCTTAAAAGCCATTTTCCACAGAGGACTGGAGTTACTCTGTCCATGGAAATTATAAAAAGGAAAATATCTTTCAAAATGTAAAGACTATGTTTCCCTAAAGATGATTCTAGAATTTTGGTTTAAACATTTCCATAAACAACCTCTCCCTCCAGTGTTCCCTGGGCACAGTAACCCTGGAAGTGGGAAGACTCAAAGCTGGTCCATTCCACTCAGAGAGGAGGCCGTCTCAAAGCAGCCAGGTGGGTAGCTCTGGGGTACCTCAAGACAGCCAGTCCACAAGCCAGAAGCTGCTCAAAGATGGCCTAGGCACAGTCTGCCTAAGGTCACAGACTAGGGTTAGTCCTCGAGCAATATGTAACTGAGTGCATGCTTTGAAACAGGGAAGAACAGAACCCGTAGGCAGGAGGGCAGGGTAGAACACGAGTCCCAGCTGTTCTGAGGAACTTTGCTTCAAGCATTCTTTTTCCATAATCTCAAAAGCTAGCTACCTAATTAATATTTGCAAAGCCTACCAAGATGGCACATTTTTAAAGGTACTGTAAAAGAGCCATCAATCAGTATTCAACTGGAAAATTCCAGATAGGTGAACATAAATGCTTTTCTCTCTATATAGAATATGATGCCCAGTAGTTTGATTTTTGGAGCTGGAGAGGTAGCTCAGTTGGTACAGTATTTGGAGGACTCAAGTTCAATCCCCAAACTCACATAAAAAAGCGAGTTTTTGTGGTAATCCCAGTGTTTGGAAGTAGATCCAGGAAGATCCCTGGCATTTGTTGATCAGCCAGCTTAAAACCTAACAGGCAATCCTTGAGTCTCATTGAGGAACCTATCTAAAATCTCAAGGTGGACGATTCTGAGGAAAGATAGATCCCTGATGTCAACCTCTGGCTCACACACAAGCCTGTTTACATGTGCATGCACATTCACCTGTATATACACATGCATATGAAAATACATGTGCACACAAACACACAGAGAGAAAAATATAAAAAATAATTTGATGGTTGCCAAGCATCTCACTTCAGACTTGTCTTTGGATGACAGAAACCCATGTTCATGAATGTGTCCATAAAGATTACTTAACTACCTTTATAACTATTCTATGGCTCCAGTTAACTGGCCTTTGTTCTACAGTGTCTAAGTCCCAGTCTTTGTGTAGCTCTGTAACTTTAGAGAGAGTTAGCCTGAGTGAAATTATGAAAGTCACTCAAATTTTAGATAAAATTTTAGACCACTAAAATTAACTTTGACCGACCTTTTATTCTCAATTATTTATTATTCCTCCCAGCACTCGGGAGTCAGAGGCAGGCAGATCTCTACGAGTTCAAGGCCAGCCTTGTCTACATAGTGAGTTTCAGGACAGCTGGGGCCACAGGGAGACCCTGCCTCAAAAAGACCAAAAGAAAAAATAAATAAAGAATTATGCTTAAATTGCCCTTAAAGTTACCAAATGCTACTATTGTTTAACAGTATTTCTCTTTAGATAAAGTACATATCTTGAATTGCAAAATAAGTATTATTTGGGGTAATGATAATTTCCCAAAACTTTCTGTAATCGTTGTTGCACATTTGTAGATGAGTGAAGGCAGCCTATCATCATTCAGTCTTCCCCTTCCTGGAATAAACTCATCCGAATCCTTGGAAAGTAACTCAAAGAAGAATGTGTGTAAGTTTGGTTTGATGTCTTAGACTTGATTTGTGCCTCTGGATTTGGGCTGTTGAGACTGATTTTTGTGTGTTTACCTCTGAGCCCTCTTCCTCCTCCAAACCACCCCATGCCCTGATGTCGATACAAAGCATACCCTGGCCAAAAACCCTAACATGTGACGCTGTGCCAAAAACCCTAACATGCGATGCTGGCCAAAAACCCTAACATGTGACGCTGTGCCAAAAACCCTAACATGTGACACTGGCCAAAAACCCTAACATGCGACGCTGGCCAAAAACCCTAACATGTGACACTGGCCAAAAACCCTAACATGCGACGCTGGCCAAAAACCCTAACATGTGACACTGGCCAAAAACCCTAACATGCGACGCTGGCCAAAAACCCTAACATGTGACACTGGCCAAAAACCCTAACATGCGACGCTGGCCAAAAACTCTAACATGTGACGCTGGCCAAAAGCCCTAACATGTGATGCTGGCCAAAAGCACTAACATGTGATGCTGGCCAAAAACCCTAACATGTGACGTGGCCAAAAACCCTAACATGTGACACTGGCCAAAAACCCTAACGTGTGATGCTGTGCCTTGGGCAAGTTTCCCCATTTGATGTTTACAAGTTATAGAAACATTATCAAAATTCTGTAACTTTTCTTAACACAAAGAGTAGTGTATTTGATTTTATCCCTGTTATATGTTGAATATAACTTCAGTCAATCAGAAATCACCACTAACTGAAACCGCCCTTTTTTCCATGAAGATGACAAAGATTTTGAGAAAACTGACACAATCCTCCAGTGTTTTAATTACATGAAATCATGGTGCAAAGGGTTTCTGGCATGGAGCGCTGATGGGGAGCTATTCAAATTGAAGAAGCTCACCATATGGCAGTCTCTATTTGCAATGTGACTAATATTCTAGAAATTTAGACCCTTAAGGGCATTGGTTTTTTTTCAACTCATCCATAACTATCTCTCAGTTGTGTGAAGGTCTTACTGTCCAAAGCACATCTGTACGTAACCCACTCAGCGAATTGTAAGGTTAGACAACCAAAGCTGGAAGGGAAAGAAGAAACAGCACATGGCTCCAAATGGGGAAAGAGAGTTCTGTGTGAGATGGATTAAATCATGTGGGCTGCTAGTAACTGAGTGCATCCTTTATTAAATAAAGCCCATGTGGCACCATCCAGCACTGTGCAGTAGCTAAAACTGTAGTGCGCATAAACCTGTTTAACAGCCATATTTTTAATGTTTTTGCCCTTACAGTAGCATCTGAAATACAAGGATTAAGAACAGTTGAAATAAAAAAGGTAATTTGGCGCCTCCAAAGGCATCTTCGTTTTTATTTTTTGTTGAGTGTTTTATAAAACCCATTAATACGCATATATATTGTAACCGCTAGAAATAATGCATTTCAATCTTTTCCAGATTTCTTAGACATAATACTGCATTTGAAAAGTTAGTGTTTACATTTTCTCTACTACCAGAAATGGTATCAGTCTGGCCCCACATGAAACAGTTTCCTGCCTCTCACCTGTCATATTGACAAACAGGCCTTTCCTTCTGACATATCACGCACACAGGAAAAGATAAAAGCATTGTGCCCTGCTGAGCCTTTACTGCCTGCCGCACAGTCTCCTCAGCATTGTGAGTCATCACAAGCTTAGTGCTCATTGAAGACCCACTGATCTGTTTTAGGAAGTGTGTTTACTCCCGCCTGGCATTGGAAGCACAGGTTCCTTACTTTGAACTCAGGCCCCTCTGATTCCACAAATTGTGGTCTTCTCACTTCCTGAATTTACCTGACTTTTATCAGCCTTGTGTGTGTTGATTGCCTTACTTCCCAAACAGTTGCTTATTTTCCAAACTCCTTGTGTCAGATAAGGTAAAGCAGTTTTCTTGAATGATGTTTTCCACCCGTTTCATATCACTTGGACCAAACTGTATCTTTTCCATGGCAGGGACCTACGGACTCTTTGGGGATCAGCATTGCTGGAGGCGTTCGCAGCCCGCTTGGTGATGTTCCTATATTTATTGCAATGATGCACCCAAATGGTGTTGCCGCTCAAACCCAGAAACTCAGAGTAAGTTCTGCTGATAAACCACAGCAGCCTACCAGATCTAGCAAATGTTTTCTTTATAACCTTTCAATCTAGCCTCCCGCCAGACAGTTCTCAATGTTTATGTCTGCTTTTAAGTCAGCTAATGAAGCTATGGAGCTTACTTTAAATAAAGGTAAGGAGTATCAAAACAGAAGGGAAAACAATGCTATCAAATGAGAATTTGTAAGGAAATTATGAGGGAAGGCAGAGAGTTGTCTCAATCTTTTTCAATAAATATTTTTATTGCATTTCATGTGGTACATCTTAATCATATTTAGACCCCATTTTTGATACATGTATGAGATTCTATGGAACACATGGAAGGAAACCAAAACGGGTTCAGAATGCCACAATATGAAGGGGCCCTTTTCCATTATATGTTTCATTGGTTTAATGCTGATTTAGCCTTATTAAATTAAAAAATATCTACATTCATTTTAATATAAATAGCACTCTTATCTGCAATGTGACTACTCTTCTAGAAATTTAGACACTTAAGTGCAAGAAGTTTAATGCAAATATGATTTAAAATGCTGTAAAATATATCAAACTTCCTTCAGAGTTGGGGGACTGTCCAAATGTAGAGCCCTGTGATGGCGCCCCACTGAACTGCCAGGCACCAAACACAGTGTGCATTCCTGTAAAGCATTCAATTTCTCTTAAGTAAGATCTCTTATGCCCTATGCTATAAACAAGGTCTCCAGTATAACCATATCTGTTAAAAGTAACCTAAGCCAAAGAATGGTTCAGCACTATTTTGGCCTCAAACTTTTTGACAGGTACTTAGAAAATGATTATACACATAGTGCTACAGGGGTCGATTAACTTTCCTGTAGGGAACACAGTGAGCACTTTAGACTCGAACATAGGACTCTCTTACAATTGCTCAACTTTGCCCTGTGAAACAGCCAAATAAGCAGGGCCATTGTCCAACCAACTTTTATTAACCCAAGTAGGCAGTATGCCAGGTTTTCCCTGCTGTCCTTCGTTTGCCAACCTCTGATTTACAGCCTCATCTAACTATCTATGGTGATAATATCCAGGGAAATTCTGGCTTCCAAATGATACTAGTATTTTATTATGTCAATAAGAAGTAGCGCCTTATGGAGGAGAAGTGAAGTCAAGGAATTCCCGCGGCTCTCCCTCCCCAAAGCTACAGGAGTCAGTATGTACCGCCTCTCTCTGGCTTGCTGGTTCGACTTGATGCTTTCCTTGGCTATATTTCAGTGTCTGGGGTACTATAGATGTGATGTGAATGGAAAGGAAGGAAAGACCGCCCTGGTCTCAGAGCCTCACTCTGCACAGTTGCTTTAGCAGGTGGCTTTTCTTTCCCTTGCAGGTTGGGGATAGGATTGTCACTATCTGCGGCACGTCCACGGAGGGGATGACTCACACACAGGCAGTTAACTTACTGAAAAGTGCTTCTGGCACCATTGAAATGCAGGTGAGGTTCTTATCCCAAGCAGTGCTCAGAACATGGGTAGCTTGAGGCTGCAGGATCTTTGATGTTAAAATAGAAAAAAATTATTAAATCTCTGGCTATTACTTTATTTAATGTATCCCTTGAACATAAATGATTAAATTGAGAGCTTCAAGAAAGCATTATGAGACACGTACTACACTATTTTATCCTGATGCCTTTATTATTTCACATTTTATATCTAAAGAGAAAAATACAGGGCCTTAGCAGTAAATGATTGTTAGATTTTTAACTGCTGAGTTAGTGGCATGTCTTCTAAAGGTCTTGAAAAATAATTATATATGAGAGTATGATTGAAAAGCATCAAAGAACATTGTAGAATTGAATTAGAATATTTTTGCTGTCTGGACAGTTAGTTGAAAGGTATCTGGTAATTGTGAAATTCCTTTCTTTTGGTTGTATTTTAATCATTTCTGTGATCAAACAGGTAATAAAATACATATTTTAATCTAAGTTCTCTCTCTGGAGGAAATTCCAGGGGCCTCTGTGGCCACATGCGTGTGATTTCTCCTGACTCTTCTGTCACACAGGTGGTTGCTGGAGGAGATGTGAGTGTGGTCACCGGTCATCAGCAGGACCTTGCCAATCCTGCTCTTTCTTTTACTGGACTGACATCAAGCAGCATATTTCAGGATGATTTGGGGTGAGCTCATATGTTATAGGTGGCATATCATTTTTTGCTTTTGAGTCAGATCGTCCCAACAGTGGAGTCTCCGTTCCAAAGTTTTAGCACTCTCGCAGAGGTAAAATATTAGAAGAGGAAATAGGAAATACGGCACTCATGTGCTTTTGACTTGCAGCTGGTCAATGATGGACGAACTGTAGATGGTCTGCTCTGCCTACTGCCCTTGCCTTGTTTCCAGCTCTGATTTTTGAGAGTTATTTACTCGTTTCACTATCACGTGTAGCATGAAGCAGGTCAAATGAACTAACCCTTTACAGTCTTCCAGCATCACCTACTTGTGCCGTCCTTTTCCAAAACTTCACTGTATTAGATAACAGGAAGAATAAAGGGCACATTTGAATTTTCAAACAATCTGATGCTGCCGTTACTTTACTTTTCTTGATTTCTCTCTCTGAGGTTGGGAGTTCTGCCATAATTGCTTCATTGTCATCCCTGTACTTTAGTCCTCCTCAATAAAGTGAAAAAGAAGAGTATTTCTGTGCCACAAGAGCATGCAGTAAATATGTTAGTTTAAGGCAAATGTAAATTGAGTAATTGAACTGGGGTGCTAAGTAGGATTGCATTAGGTTATGTAAGTCTCTGATACTGTGCACACATGCACTGATAATTGAAACATCCCCCAAATGCCCATAACATATTCCCTGTCAGTAACATAGAGAAGCTGGCTGGCTCTAGTTAGAGTCACATGGTACAGATTCAAAGTGTGTGCGCGTGTGTGTGTTTACTTGAAAACCTCTTTTTTTCCTTCCTTTCTCTGTAGACCTTCGCAGTGTAAGTCTGTAACACTAGACCGAGGACCAGATGGCTTAGGCTTCAGTATAGTGGGAGGATATGGCAGCCCTCACGGAGACTTACCCATTTATGTTAAAACAGTGTTTGCAAAGGTAAGCTTACAAATTTTAACCATTCCCTTCCCTACAAAACATCCATTGACAGCAGTCAGCACCTGGAGGATTAGTTCATTGTCTGAGGGCAACAGCAGATGGTTAACAGTTGGTCATTTTCTTTCTGAACACCCTGCAGGAACAGGTCAGTAGATATTTTTCTCCAATTTGAGGGTTAGTTCCGTATGTTTAAGGGAAAATAAGCTGAAACAATATCCATAAAAATACTAATGAATTTTTGTTTTAAAGCCTCTTCATTTGAAAACAAGTTACATACGATTACCTTCGGGAAATGGACTTTTAGCCAGGCCTGGTGGCACCCTCCTTTAATCCCAGCACTTGGGAGGCAGAGGCAGGTGGATCTCAGTGAGATGGAGGCCAGCCTGATCAACATAGCAAGTTCCAGGCCAGCTGGGGCTACAGGGAGACCCTGTCTCAAAAAGACAAAAATAAATAAATGAATAAATAAGTAAATAAAAATAAAGATACTATAATATTGATGACGTCATTAAGAATAATGTCAGCATATATAACGATTGGCATTCTGTTGTTGAGAATTTTTCAAGGAGTACAAAATTGGACAATACCACCTGCAAGAGAAAACCAAAAATCTCAGTTTTATCATGTGAAGGGGCAGAATGTATATCATACCTGTTT